ACAGTGTGCCGCCAACTTCAGTTCATGATGATTATATGCTGGGATGTGGACAGTGTGCCGCCAGCTTCAGTTGATGATGATTATATGCTGGGATGAGGACAGTGTTGCCGCCAGCTACAGATGATGATGATTATTTGCTGTGACGTGGTCAGTGAGCCGCCAGTTATCGATGATTATAAGCTGGGATGTGGACAATGTTGCCGCCAGCAACAAATGATTATTTGCTGGGACGTGGCCAATGAGCCGCTGGCTATTGATGATGATTATGAGTTGGGACGTGGTCAGTGAGCCGCCAGCTATCAATGATGATTATGTGCTGGGACGTGGCCCGTGTGCCGCCAGCAGCAGCCGACAGACGGTTGCTATGATTATGGTATAATTTCGGATGCCGGAGCTGGATACGAGCAGCCTATGATGGCTCGGCTCATTGGTGGACTTATGTGTCTGTCGGGCCCAGATTGGCCCCAGTTTTGTATGATTGTGAGTTAAACTTTTAAAATTTCAGTTCATTGCATTGTATCTGGCTTGTCATATGTCAGTCCTGGGACATGCCTTGGGGATTGAGAGCTAGTTTATGGGATTTCAGTTCTTGCCTCTTACTGTATTTATTTAGTCTGAATGGCATTTATGAAATGAATGGCTGTGGGATAAAGTAAAATTTGTTTTCTTCCAGCGCTCAGTTGATGCGGCAACCTTCTAGTACGATTGCGTAAGGAGGATTGCCTAGCATCATTTGGCACAAATTGATTAGCTATCTCTGAAGGAGGGTGACATTTGGCCTAGTGAAGTGTTCCCTTGGCAAGGGACTCAGCATCGCCGAGATGGGGTTCCTCTCCAGACGGGGATTCGCGGCTAAACGCTACCAAGCTCTAAAGGGATAGGTAATCAGTCATGTGTCATAATCGATGGAGTGATCTGTCCGATCATGTGATCGGGCAAAGATCACTTAGCATCGCAGCGGATTGAGGATCGCTGCATTCTTCGTGCTGGAAGGAGTGTTCTCACTGCAACCGTCGGGCTCTCGCAACGGTTCCCCGGCGAGAGTCTATCCACAGTGGCGTCCCATGCGGTGTCAGCACTTGCGTCCTTCGTGAAGAGGCGGAGAGTTTTCGACTGCGCCTCTTGAGCAAGAAATGATTCCCTGAAGAAGGTTCTCACAAGGTCGAGAGGCTAGCTGGGTCAGCGGGGTGTCTGAGCCATAGTGGCAGATAACTCCGGACCCTAGAGTGGCTAGTCGTTCCTCAGGTCATCGTATGGTGATCCGGTCCGCTTGCTGGAAAGGAAGGAGGCATCCTGAGCCTCTCCCAGTCTAAATCCGACATTTGGCTGATCAAGGTGGTGGAATCCTACTACCACTCTAATCGGGGTGTCTCTTGGGAGCAGTGTCTCCAGGGGCATTCCCTTGGCATCGGACCAAGCCAGGTATCCACAGCCCAGCTGGCAACAGGGCCATTATGGCCTCCTAGCCCACTGTTGCAAAGCTTAATTGTGGACTCGCTCTGACTCACCAGCAGTGTCTGGTTGGGTGTTGGCTGGCTCCTCGCACAGTAGCAAGAGTCGGGCGTTAGAAAGTAGTCGAGCGAGTAGACGGAGGTTCTGAAGTCGACTAAAGAGCTTCCGCGCCATGGGCCTGCACTCATTGGAATGAGGGCTTCATGAAGGGGTATGCGGCTCCCCGTGAGCTGTTCTGAGCAAGGGCTCAGAGGGTGGTCGGACCGCCATGACTGGGAATCAGGACTGACTATACTCTACTTGCCTGGTTGGGTCAGCGGAGGAGCCCACCAGGGCGAGCAGGGGCACTCTCGGAAGGCCGAAAGGTAAGACTCTGAGAGTGAGTGAGGAAGGGGTGTCGGCAAAGGTCTTTAGGAGAGATCCTTTTTTTCTCGTCTTTCTTTTGAGGCATGACTTGATATCTATTTTGCAGGTACCCTACAGCCAGACGAAGACAACGGGGTTTGGTATGACCCGACAGTGAGCGGCACAGAGCCGGCAGACGAAGACAACGGGGTTTGGTATGACCCGACAGTGAGCGGCACAGAGCCGACAGACAAAGAGAAAGGGGTTTGGTATGACCACCCCTTATGAGGCAGCCTTCGATCTAGATGACCTGGATGATCCTGGATTCGATGATTGGTCCCATAGCCGCCCGTGGCTGAGATATTGACGAGGACTGTGTTGTACTGATGGGCAGTATGGATGAGATGGAATAATCCAATGATGTCGAGATGTGCAGGTCAGGATTGAGACTTGGACTGCTAGACCAGACCTAACGATGGGGTCAGGTCTAAGATTGAGGATCGATCATGATCATGCATGAGGTCAAACCTAAAGAAAGGTTTGACTTGAGATTGAGGCTGATTCAGTGATGCAAGCGAACGGGATTGATAGTATGCACGACCGCCCTTTCTTCCGAGGCACATGCGGATGTCGGGAGTCTTCCACTTTCGTTCGAAGACTTCGCTGCCCGGCTCGTTCCTTCGCTGGACGCTTCTCAAGGACAAGACACTTGTGCGGCTTTCTCACCGTCCGAAGGTTCTTCCGCCACTTCGTCTTCATCAAGGGATTCGACAAGCGTGTTCAACGAGGAGGTCTTGGACCCGCTCACGCCCGAGGATTTTGCTTGGGTTCCTCTCCCTACGACGGGCAACCTTCCGGGGCCGCAAAGCGCAGCACTATGCGCCCTCTTACACGAGTATCTTTCCTTCCATGCACCACCAACTTCGCCGACAGTAGACGAAGTCGCGGTGGGGGACATGCTTGGCTATGTTGCCAAGGTGGCCCACGAGTTTCTCTCGCAACGGTACGAAAAAAACAACGCACCGTTGCTCTACGTTCACATTCAGATTGGGCAAGCGGCCTGCAACGCTTTGCTGGATTGTGGCGCAACTCGCAACTTCATCAGCCAGTCCTTCATGACCCGGGCTGGCCTTGGCGCACAAGTACAAAGGAAGTCACATCCGACGACGGTCGCTCTTGCCGACGGTAAGACGAAACAGCTTTTAGACCGTTACATCTCGGCTGTCCCCGTGTACTTTGCACCGCACGCATGTGAACCCGTCACCTTTGACGTGTTTCGATGTCATTTTGGGGATGCCTTGGCTTTCTAGCGCGGACCACACGGTCAATTTCCATCGACGCACACTCACGATTCGTGATGCAACTGGCGCCGAGGTCCCGTGTCCTATTCCTCCTCCYCGCTCTTCCATTCGGTGCCAAGTTGTGAGTGCCAAATCCTTTCGAGACACATGCTGTTCCGAGCATGTCGAAGAGATTGGCATCGCTTTTCTTCAAACCGTCCCGACGACCGACTCATCGTCCACGGATTTGTCTTCCGACCCCCGTGTGACCCGGTTGTTAGACGAGTTCTCGGATGTTTTTGAGACACCCTCCGGTATAGTGCCGGACCGGCCAATCTCTCACGAGATCATACTCGAGGCCGGCGCCGTGCCACCAAAGGGATGCATTTATCGCATGTCCGAGGAGGAGCTCACGGTTCTCCGTGCGCAACTCGACGATCTACTTGACAAGGGTTGGATCTGCCCTAGCAGCTCACCTTACGGTGCGCCCGTTCTCTTCGTWMGGAAGAAGAACAAGGACCTTCGACTTTGCATTGACTACCGACRMCTCAACRCGCAAACCATMAAGAACGCGGGGCCTCTACCTCGCATTGACGATTTGCTTGAGCGGTTGGGCGGCGCCAAGTACTTTTCGAAGTTGGACCTCAAGTCGGGCTACCATCAGATYTYCATCYGCCCRCAMRATCGGTACAAAACCGCGTTTAAGACGCGATATGGGCATTTTGAGTGGGTAGTTATGCCTTTTGGCCTCACCAATGCCCCGGCTACCTTTCAGGCGGCCATGACCACCGAGTTTCGCACTATGTTGGACCGTTTTGTCTTGGTCTACTTAGACGACATCCTCGTCTACAGGCGAACTCTAGAGGAGCATCTCGAGCACCTTCGCCGTGTTCTAGAGACTCTTCGGTCAGCCCGGTACAAAGCCAACCACGACAAATGCGAGTTTGTCCAGCAAGAGCTTGAATACTTGGGTCATTTTGTCTCCCTGGAAGGCATTCGTCCGTTGGCGGACAAGATTCAAGTCATCCAGGAGTGGCCCAAGCCAAAGAATGTGACGAACATCCGATCCTTCCTCGGCTTGGCCGGTTATTATCAGCACTTCATCAAGGGTTACTCGAAGATCGCGGCCAACCTAAGCAAGTTACAAAGAGAGGAGAGGCCTTTTGACTTCGACGACGATGCGCACCATTCTTTTGAAACACTCAAAGCGACACTCTTATTCGTCGAGGTGTTACATATTTACGACCCGCTTCTAGCTACGTGCGTCACTACCGATGCATCGGGCTATGGCATTGGGGTCGTCCTTGAGCAGCACGATGGCACGGACTGGCACCCGGTCGAGTACTTTAGCAAGAAAGTACCTCCCGTGCATTCGATCGATGACGCACGGAAGAAGGAGCTTCTTGCCTTCGTCCACGCCCTCAAGCGTTGGCGACATTTCCTCCTTGGTTGGAAAGCATTTCGATGGGTAACGGATAACAATCCGTTGGTATTCTACAAGTCGCAAGACACGATTAACAGTACCATTGCCCGTTGGATGACTTTCATCGACCAGTTTGACTTTTTCCCCGATCACATTCCCGGGAAGTCAAACCGTTTTGCGGACGCCCTCTCACGGCGACCGGATCTTTGCACCGCAATCTACTCTACCTTCAAGATCGACGACGACTTGCGGGAGAGCTTCATCCGCGGCTCTCAAGCCGACCCCCACTTTCGCTACAAGTACGCGAATCGCTCCTCTCCAAATCCGGTGCCTTCGCACTATCGGATCCAAGAGGGCTACTTGCTTGTGCATTCACGGGGTAAGGATCTTCTTTGTGTGCCAAGTGATTCACACTTGCGCACACGGCTTCTTGGCGAGTTTCACGATGCGCCCGCCTCCGGACATTTTGGTGTTAACCGTACACTTGGCCGACTTCGCCAGCGGTTCTATTGGCCCGACCTTCTCAAGGACGCCACCCGCTATTGTGAGTCGTGCCAAGTCTGTCGGCGTTGCAAGTCACGCAACCATCGTCCGTTCAGAGAGCTACACCCACTACCAGTGCCCCTTGGGCGACAGGAAGCAATTGCTATGGATATCACCGGCCCCTTCCCGAAGCACAAGACCGGCTTTGATGGGATACTCACGGTCGTCGACCGCCTCACCAAGTACGCCATGTTTTTGCCTTGCCGCTATCACGCAAAGGCACCGGAGTTAGCCGAGGTCTTATACACCGGTTGGAATCGCTCCAAGGGCTACCCCAAGGAGATTGTTTGCGACCGGGACACTTGCTTTCTCTCCGACTTTTGGGTCGCCCTCGTCAAGCGATGGGGCTCATCTTTGAAGTCGAGCTCGGCTCGCCACCGACAAACCGATGGTCAAACGGAAAGAGCGCATCAGACCGCTCAAGTCCTTCTATGCACTCTCATCCATCCCGACCAGGTTGATTGGGTTGAGCGCTTGCCAGACGTCGAGTTGGCTTACAACTCATCGATCCATCCGGCTATCAGGATGTCGCCGTTCGAGTTTGAGCATGGTTCACCCATCTCATCGTCGTTGGACGCCGTTTTGCCGCGCACAGCCGAGAGCGACGACCATCTTGCGTTCCTTCGTCGCATGCAAGAGCTCCTTGTCAAGGCACGGGATCAGATGTCAAAGACGCAAATACGGATGAACCGTCAAGCCAACCGCAATCGTCTCCCTTTCCCGTTCCGCATCGGCGATCTGGTTTGGGTCTCCGCCGCGGAATTCAGCCTTGAGCAAGACATCTCTCGCAAGCTCCTTCCCAAGTGGATGGGGCCTTGGCGCATTCTCTCTGCAGTTGGTGATGATCCCGAGGGGCCTTCAATCCGCATCGCGGTGCCACCTCACTTGCCCGTCCACACGGTGTTCCACTATTCCAAACTCGCCCCTTTTGTTTCAGCGGAGTCCGACGAGTTTCCCGGTCGACGTACGCAAGACCCTCCTTCCATGGACGGATTTCAGGAGGCCGGCTACATCATCACCGACCGGCGCCATGGCAACAAAGAAACGGAGTTTCTACTTCACTTCTCCTACTGCAGCCACAAGGTTGACCGTTGGCTGACGCGTTCGGAACTGCAGGCCACAGCCCCCGCCGTTCTCTCGCGTTATCTTAGCAAGGGGAAGACTACGCCGAACACTCCAGCTCCTCGCCATCCTCGCTACATTCCGCCATCGGATCGGCAGCTTCGCCTGCGCCCCGGCTCGTCTTCATAAGGAGGGGGGTGTGTTACATGCTGAAAGCCTACACACGGGACCCTCACGGGACCCGAGGTTGGAATAGGGCCCCCAGGTCGCGTCACTACAACCTGACGGCCCTATCGCATTTTTACTTGGGCCTGCATCAGAAAACGCCAGCTTTAGATTATTTTTATATTCTTTCTATTTATTTATTTGCTGCTGTTTTTCTAACGTGTGTGCTGTTGTCCGTTTTGTGGCCAAGTACACGTTTTAGGGCCAGGGCCAGATTTAGGACCAGAGGCTGAGCCTCTAAAAACGTTTGGACCTTTTCTTTTGTTTTCGAACAGATTTTGACCTGTTCGGACCCAGGCCGACGTTAAGGCCGGGTACGTCCGCACAGGAACGGTTTGAAGCCAAGTACCAGGAAGTTGAATCCTGGACAGGGCCTGGATGTCCGGTAGGGACGCAGGCAGGCCGTTTTAGGCCAAGGGCTGAACCACACATTCGGGCCTGCGATCTGAATCGTGGATCTGAACGATCCAGGTCGAAGGCCGTGGGCTTTCAGTCCTGGCCCAGCACTACTTAAGCTGGGCCATTGCCCAGTTTGAAACAGAAGGGTACCAGGGGAAATCCAGCGTTACGCTGGTTCAGGACTTCGCTTGCTGCGCTATTTTGAGATTGCAGCTGCGCGGCTCATCGGCAACGAGGCACCGCGCTGGAGGAGTCCAGCGCCGAGGAGAGTAGTGGAGTTCAGAGAGAGAGAGAGAGAGAGAGATGGAAGAGGAGCTTACCTGTTGCGACCTACCAGCGCCATAGCTGGGCTCTCCTGCAGTCCCCAGGTAAGTGTAGAAAGCGCCTAGCTTTCTCCTTCTTCTTCTTCTCCTTCTCCTTCTTCTCCTCCTCTCCTCTTCTCCTCCTACCCCTCCGAAGTCTTCTTCTTTTTCTTTTTCTTCTTCTTCTTCTTCTTTATCAGAGTAGAGATAGAGGTAACTGCAGACATTGTTTGGACACGGCATTCTGCCTTCTTGGACACGACATTCAGATCGGACTTACACTCTACATTTGGGTTGATCTGTGTACGACATTCGAAGATCAGACTTGGGTTGGACTTGGTTACCTCATGCGTCCCTCCCCTCTCGCACGTTTATGGATCTCTCCCCAGGTGTGTAAGCGGAAGGGCAATCTTTCTGATGTCTTGCCCTTCCGAAGTTTACCTCTTTCATGTTGGTTGGTCCACGTGTCCTTGGATTATTAAGACTTTCGTTGTGCTGCTTCCCAGTCCATGATGATGATGATACAAATGTGTTGTTGTTGTTTTCTTGTTGGTTTACTAGTTGCATTGTGCACATTGGCATCTTGTGAATGTTGCATCGATGCTGCTGGTTGTTGCCACTTTCATCATTGCTGGATACTAGGCTCTCAGTGCATTTCACTTCCTGATATGCTACAGACTGTCACAAAAGAAGCGGAAACAGGAGGGCGAGGCCTTCAGCGTTATCGTGGTTGAAAAGGAGACGAAAGTCAAACTAGGGGTCAGTTTACTCAGACCAAAGGATGTGCATGATGAGGAGCTAGGGATAACACTTAAATCCCTAACTTGTTGCAGTTCGTCAAAGTCATCAAGTATCATAAGCTAAGAGTGGACCCGACCGCGCTCGCAAAGGTTGAGGGCGAAGTCGGGATGGGCTATTGTCTAAACAGGAAGTTGGTCAGCATCCAGCCGCGGATTGCTGATGTACCAAGGGTGGTTCCAACCATTCATTTTTTAGAAGAACAAGTGGACCCCGCCACGGCTACGCCATGCCGCACAGCAACACTCGCTGATGGCGTCTTATTTTTGTTTCATGTCTCTCTCTCTCTCTCTCTCTCTCTCTCTCTCTCTCTCTCTCTCTCTCTCTCTC